TATATCAACTTTTAACAGCTATCAATGACTATCAACCATCAATGACACCGGCGATGCAGCGAGCGACGCCGGCGGAAGACGCGCCGGCGGCGACTCGGCCAGCCCGGTCACAGGGGCGATCGAGGCGGCGGCGGCGTGACTGGAATCTCTACTATTTTCTACTTTGTTTTGCTCCTTTCACACATTACATGCAAGACAAAACAGCCGCTAGTCCCTTCCCGCGACCGGCGAGCTCGTGACCTTGGGGATCATCCGGGTGTTTGTGGCATGTTTGTTTTATAAATATGATGTGTATATTTATGTATACTGTATACTATGTATTTATTGTATGCATTTTATGTATGTATTTTTAAGTGTTTTTACGTATTTCTATTCCTCATGCAGATCAGCCTACATCATGCAATGATGCAAACTGATCTCACATGAGATGCAAATTGCATGAAGATACAATTTACATGCCCACAAATGCATGCAAATGCATGCATTTGCAGGCAAGAGTGCTGCAAGTGTGCAACTGTGTTATGGATTGACGTACAAAGATTTGTGTAAAAAAAAAAATATACGGCAGTTAATGTGCATCGTTTTGTACGACGATGCTTTTTAGTCTTCCCCACTTTTTCTCGAATTCTATTTGTTTGTTTATGCGATTAGCTGCTTGTTGTTCTATTTCTATAACAATTTTCAGTTTGTTTATTAGGTGTGTCACCTCTGGTGTGATATTTCGTAACCTTGCTTCATATATGACCATTTTTGCTAAAGCCAATATATGTGTCTGTTGTGGATTTGCATCGATTAGGAAGAACCAAGTTTTGCTGTTTATAGGGAGGCGTATTTCGTACGGATCTAAAATTCTGCGTTTGATATCTGCTATAAAGGACTTTACTTTATTACAATGCCAGAACATATGAACCAGTGTTTCCGGTTCTACTTTACAGAACGTGCAAGTATCTTCGTCTTTAATGTGTATAGTCTTAAGGTAAGTATTCGTTGCTACTATGCGATTTATGAGTTTATATTGAAACATTATCAGTTTTGCTGACTTTGTGACCTTTTTTAAGATTGCAAGGCTATTTTCCTCAAAACCCCCAATATCTCTGATCCACTTTGCTTTTTGGCGTTCATTAGCATTCCGTATTTCTAACTGCTTATGTTTTACATTTGCTTCGTACGCTTGACGTGAAAATTTTTCATTGTTTAACACCACGCACATTCTATGTGGCATTATCGGCCCAAGTGTTTTATCTATTTGTTGGTTTTTTATGTAATCAGGTAAGCTCCTGATTAAGCTCGAATAACATAAAAATGTCATCTTCACGTCGTAAGCATTTTCGAGGCTCTCTTTGGTATGTAAGGTCCCTGTATTTTCGTTAAACAAATCATTTATGAGCCGAATTCCTTTTTTGTACCAGCTACGTATTATTGAACATTGGAATTTCGTGTAATCTGAAAACCATATGCTTTCGAAAAGTACGTTAGCCTCATCAGGTACGTATACTCTGCTAAAGTTTGCAAAACTTTTTAGTACGTCGCTCCAAAACTTGTTTTCAACCTTCTTCATCAATTTCTCTAGTTGTTTACTGCCAAATTGAAGCACGTTTTCAATTGGTGGTAGTTCAATTTCGACTATACGTGACCATGATGCGTTTGATGCCATTATTCTTTTGAGCCATGTCAGCTTCATGCTGGCGCAGAAGGATTGGACATCTATCATGCGAAGACCACCTGCGGTAAAGTTTTGTATAAGTTTCGCGCGTTTTATTGGATCTCGTTTACCACCCCACACAAATTCGAATAAGATTCTCTCAAGACTTTTAAATTCTTTTCTAGAGGGGTCAGGTAGGGCCATAAATAGATGAACTAATTTTGACATCAACAGGGACTTGACGACTGTTATTCGCCCTAACGTTGTAATGTTTCTTCTACGCCAATGTTGAATTTCTGTTTGAATCTGAGTGATTTTCGGTTCGAAATTGACCTGAGTAATGTTTTTGTTATTCTCATTGAACGTTATTCCTAATATTTTCAATTGGTCAACAAACTTGATTTGGCTGCAACCAACGTTGTTGAACTGCCTTGCGCAGCCAATCCGCAGACAACATGTTTTGTCAATGTTTAAGTTAAGTCCTGATGCTTCTGAGAATCTTTGCAATTCTTGTATAGCTCCTTTAACGCATTCTGTTTCATTCTTTATTAATAAGATGGTATCGTCGGCATATTGAGAAATTCTTACTTCCGCACTGTCTGAAATTTTGATGCCGGTTACTTTTCTTGATTTCTTGATTTGTTGCGTAAGCAGGTTCACTGCGAGGTTGAAAAGGTAGCCTGAAGTCGGGTCTCCTTGTCGGATTCCGCAATTCAGGTATATTTTATCCCCCAAATGCCCGTTTACTATTATTCGGGAGAAGTTATCGTTGTTTAAATATAGAAGTTTAATGATTTCTATGAAATTTGGTCCAAAGTTGTACTGTTTTAACACTTCCAGTATCATCTCCCACGAGAGCGAATCAAATGCAGCTTCAAAGTCAGCAGACATAACTAACCCTGATTCTTTTCTGTTTGAAAGGAGATTTATCACGTCATATATTAAGCGTGTATTTTCACCTATGTATCGTCCTTTGATGTAGGCTGTTTGACATGGGTCTACTAGCTTTCCTATTACTTTTTGTATTCGTGCCGAGATAGCTGACGAAATTATTTTGAAATCAACATTCAACAACGTTATTGGGCGCCAACCTTTTAAAGTGTTGAGTTGTTTTCCGGCCTTGGGGATCATTGTTATGATCCCCTCTCGATGAGAAAGAAGGGTTTTGCCAAGTTTGGTACAATATATAAATGCTCTGTAAAGGAAGGGCCCCAATTTCTGCCAAAATTTTCTAAAGAAACATGCCGTATACCCATTTGAGCCTGGGGATTTTCCTTTGTTCATTTTTTGCATTGCCTGTGTTAATTCTTGATAAGAGATCGTGTTCTCAAGGAGTGCTCGTTCATGTGTGTTTATTTTTTCATTGATGTTCTCAAGTGCGAGTTTTTCAACTACTTCTTTGGGAGCACTGTTTATTTTGTTAAATTTATGGGTTAAGTCGTTGGTTAAGGCCTTAAGGATTTCTGACGCTTCTGTAATTTTATGATTGTCAGAGATAAGCTTTGCTGGGCTTTTCCTCATTGCATTTCTTTTCTCTAAACCGAGGAAATATTTAGATGACCTTTCGCCTTCTTCGTGCCATCTTATTCTGGATCTTACAATTAAACCGTGAACAATAGGCTCCCTAAACTTCTCTAGCTCCTCCTTACAACTCTTAAAGGGACCCTCCCACCTTCAAAAAAGTTAATGAATTGGCATGAAAGTGATGTCGCTTGGTTCAGAAAGAGCAAAAACGAATATCTACCAAATTTCATCGAAAAATATTCACCGGTTTTCAAGATATTAGACTTTTACTTTTGTTTACTTTTTGGGATCTCCGCTGTTCCTAGCGACTTTATTTGAAAGTGCGGCATTTGTTGCGCGCAAAGCAGCATATACCACCGCGTGCTACCAAACGTTTTAGTAAAAGATTTAAAAATCGTTAGATCTCCGCTGACGTCACAAATTCTAAGGGGGCATACCAATGCACTAGCCCCTTAGAATCCGGAAACTGCAAGTTTGAAATTCCATATCTCCGAATTAAAGCATTTGTCGATGTTGTGAGTGCCCAAACCGGTATTTGCAGGCCATGGCCACCAATTTGGCTATCTCAACTCAAAACTAATGTTAAGGTGAGAGGGTCCCTTTAAGCTGTGAGCTATTTTCTTCCGATCTGTTGATTGTAAAAGCTGAGCTTGCTTGAGCTACCTTCGTAATTAATTCTTTTTCTTTTAGCTTGAATTCTCTTGCTTTAATTTTTGAGTATTTAACAGTTTCTCCTCTGATGAGCATCAGAAGTGTTTCATAAAATAGGTCATCACCTATTTTGAATTCTATTTTGTTGAAGTTTTCTGCATTTGAAAGAAATTCTTTAGTGTACAGAGGTACAGCGTACTCCTCAATCGTTCTCTGGATGCATTCATTTACGATTTGTATGTATTTTTCATCATGTAATAAAGATTCATTAAATTTCCACAGGCCAGGTCCTCTTTGTTGTTCATTGGTTTGTACCCGCATTGAAATGATATTATGATCCGTTTTATATCCAGGGAGTATTTGCAAATCGGAGCAGCTGGCGACCAGGTGGTTGCTAACGAAAAACATATCCAATCTTGCTCCCTTGTTTAAATTGGATGTGAACCACGTGTACTGTTGTTGCGTTGGGTTTTTATGTCGCCATATATCAATTAAGTTATTTTCATTGCATATTGACATGAATTTCTTCCTCGCATTAACATTATTCTCACGAATATATCCATAACTATCATCTTCTGCATTTGCCACGAAATTAAAGTCCCCACCGAGGATGATATTATCATAGTTTGCATTTTCTATTATTTGACCTAATTGTTCGTAGAACTGCGGCTCATCTCGATTCGGGCCATATATACTGCTTACCAAGTAGTTGACAGAATTTATTTTACAATCAAGTATGAGATAATTGCCTTTATTGTCTACGTATTTGTTTATTATTTCGTGTTGGCTATTTTTATTGATGAGTATAGACACACCTCTACTGTTACTTGTATGGCAAGAGTGGTATGCCTTTCCTTCCCAAAGATTATTAAACGATGGTATTTTATCCTGCGTCAAGTGAGTGTCTTGAAGAAGGATTATGTTACTGTTTAGATTTTTTATATAATGCATTACGTCTCTTCGCTTGTGTTGAGATCCTAGGCCTCTGACATTAATTGATATGATTTTAATGGAACCCATCTTCTTGCAAATATTGAAAAATGTGCTCACGTGTCTTCATTTCATTGCATGCATTTGGCGTTGGGTACTTGACGGTGTCGGCACGTTTGCGGATTTGTGGCATGGTGCTGGATTGCGCAAGTGTAGCGTTTGTATCTGTGTAATTGGAAGTGTTAACGCTCACCAGGGCTCCAGCTTGTGAGAAGAGGAAACAGGTACGAGCGTCGCCGGTCGCAAGGAGGGCAGTCGGCTGTTGTCCTCGGGTTCTATAGAAGACCGCTCGCGCTCCCAGTCTCGCCGCCGCCGCCCCAGCCACCCACCGAGGACAGGCCGAGCCGAGCGCCGCCGCCGATCCCCCCGCCGACGCCGCACTGCTCCGGGACATGATGCCTAATCTGCGGAAAATCAAAACAGACGGACGAACAGAGAGTCTCTTGGGGGAAACGAAAACCAGTGTTGGCGCAATAAACAGTGACAATGATAGTATGGATGACAACAGTATTAAGTAATGCAATAAGGGGTATGACAAGGAAAACATAAAGAGTGAAAAACAACTAAGTAAACAGAACGCGGAGCCCGCGACAAAAAGTTAGCAAGGTAATCAGTGAAACGACTATCAAGAAGTCGACCTACAAGTACTATAGACAAAGATTAACTGCACTGTTGCAAGTTGATACAATTGCTTGAAATTGAACTTTAACTTTAACTTATGTCTTAGGTACACAATTCCGGTAAACAACGATTATTATTAGACGTTGGACTGATGAACCCGTTCGAACGACATCACCTGATTGATGAAGTTGGCACCGGTAAGTTAGCAGACGTCGCCGAACACGGCCCGGAGTGCAGGCGGTCGCGCAGTTCGCCGTACAGGCGAGCCGGTACTCAGCGCTCGAGTACTGTGTAGCCGAGCCGGCGCACCTGCTCCAAAGAGTCTACTCGCTTTCCGGTGCCGTACTGCTCTTGCTTGAAGAATACTTGGCCGCCCCGTGAGTAGACTGTGTAAACCTTCTTCTCGCGTTTGGCGGCCAGTAGAGATCTGAAGATCAGTCCTCTCATCTTCGTCAGCGACTCGTTGACGTAGAGGTCTTTGCCCTTCAACTCCATGCGCCGGGTCATGATCCTGTCTCGTAGGCTGCCTTCTCCAGAGCGCACGAAGCGGACGATGATCCGGTGGTTCGCGCCTGGCAGCCGATGAGCCCGATCTATGTCCGCTGACGACAGGTTGAGACCGGGCATACACTGGTTGAGGGTGTCCACGACGAGTGTGTTCACATCCTCCCGCTCCTCTCGGTCACCGACCCGCGCGCCCGACCGCGCCCGCCCGCCGTCCGCCGCCGACTGGCCCGGGCCGGCCGTGACCTGGCGGTCAGCTGACTGTGACGTCCCGGGCGCGCGTCCTCGACCGGAGCCGGGCGGCACGGTCGCAGCGGCGGCGTCAGCCGCCCCCGGCGATGTCTGGTTGATCAAGGGCGCGCCCAGGCGGGCCGAGCGGCGGGGCGCCATGGCTGTACCGGAGAAGATGAGGCATGGCAGGCGGGAGTTTATTTCTGCATCTTCAACTCTGGTTTGAAGGGCCGTGATGTCAGCTCTGGACTGGCGGAGATCGTCGGTTAGCTGATCGATGACCCCGTCTCGCACCTCGACGTGCCGCTCCAGGTCTCTGACACGCTCGTTGAGCTTGTCGATTTCGGCTGTTAGCGACTCGCGGAACTCGTGGAGCTCACGTGAGAAGGAGGCGACGAGCCGACTCTCCAGGCCGTCGATCGCGTCTTCCAGCCGCTCTCTGAAGCCGCGGCCGCCGAGAGCCGACGGACTGGGCGTGGGCTCACCGCCCAACTCCCTTGCGCCACGCTTGCCGGCTGGTGCAGGATCGCCGGACTCGGATCTGTCTCTTTTCTGTCCTTCGGGCGGGTCACTGTAGTTCCTTACTAGCTCGCTCACCGATTGTCGCTCGCTAGTAGTGTCACTGTGCACTAGTGCGGATGTGTCTCTGGCACCACCATCCCGAGACGAGGCCTGCCTCGGCCTGGCCTCCGCGCGGTCACTCATCACGGGCGTACGGTAGCACTCGTGCAAGAAAAAACGACGCTGCCGTCGCAGGCTCCGCGTTCACTGGAGGACTCACACGTTCATAAAGCTAGTGTGAGCCCCAAAAAAGTCACCAGTTTCGCGCGCGGTCACTCGTTATGGTCGGACACGCACTCACTCGCCACGCGGGTGGTGCGGGCTGGAGCGGAGCGTAGCACGACCGACCGCGCTGGCGGCAACCAGCTGACTGTCCGTGCAATATCTCGGTAACCGTGGGCCCGATTGGCACGGGGAAAACACCATCGTGTAGAGAATCGAACGGGCTATCGAATGGTGTGCGGTGCGGAGGATGGCACGCGCCATGTGCACACGTGAGGGCAATTTTATTTCAAAAAGTGTCGTTTTAAATGGATTTCGGATTTTATTTTATGTTCACGTGACCGTCAGAATGAGTGAGTCAAAACAGCGCCTATTCGCAGGAGAAATGTACCGTCTCTCATGATAAAATTGTGAAAAGCTAATTGATCAAAAACAAGGTGGAACAAATTGCTGGAGAAAATGGCATTTGCCCATATTGTGGCACTAAATAATTACACGGGGTTTGCAGCTTAACCTGATACGTTTGACAATTGAAAATGCTATCATTAGAAAGAGCATTCAATTCTCTCCAAGATCCAATCATCACGTTTGCATGACAAGCAACAGTATTCTTTAAAATGTTAATGTTTCAAACCTCTGCAAAACCATTTTTCGCGAAAATTATCTACGCCTTTCATTTGTCAAAAAACTACGCACCTAAGCTATAAAACACATTTCATAGGTTCACTGAACTTTAACGACAGATTTTGAAGTAGAAAGCATGCTTATCAGACATGGGCACCTCGATGCGATGGATATTATTTCCAAACCAAATCGTTTAGCCGTCAAAAAGCAATCCACCGAAAGGGATGGATAACCCAACCGACACAAGAAAACCAAATACCCGCCGATCGAAAATACCCCTTTTCGCGTTGCGGAGCACGCGGGTCACCCTAGTAGGTACCTATTTTGCATCAAAATCGGCCGACATGACGTCACTCTGACGTCATCTCCGACCAAACTATGGTAGCTAGAAAGTTGAAATTTAAACACAAGGTGTCAAATTGATGCGGCTGAAGGTACCGCAAGTTTCGTGTTGATCCATCAAACGGTTTTTTATTGCCGAAACACGGGAGGGGGCTCTGAAGATCCCCACCCCCCTAGTCATGCGCGGGTTAACTTTGCATCTCGACCGGGGCGAGCGGCAAAAACAACCGCGGCACCGAGTGGGTCCCGAAAGGCTAAGCGCTGGACGGTGTTAACCCACCCGGAGAATAAAACGCCGGGACCAGGACGGGGCTTCACCGGACGCTGCTAGCACGCTGCTATCGCATTTCGCGAGCTGACGACACATATGTATTGCCAGCGTCGTGTTCCACTCGTCGAGACGCGTCGAATGAACTATAAGTTGACATCGAAAGGCCATTTTGAAAATTTGACTTTAAGTCAAGTTCATGACCTGACCGGAAAGGGTCATGCTGAACATCAGTCGATCCGTATCGTCGAGCTGAGCACATCTAACTTGTTGTTGCCGCTGTAGCACATCTCTATCAAAAGTTATAGTAAAAGAAACTGCTGGCGACCTTCCGCGACCTGAGATGACCTCAGGGCTCAGGAGTAGGTACACTTAGGGGTCACGGGGCAATCATGTTTACATGTACACCCATTCTTGAGAGTGCTTAGAACGACGTTTGTCTAAAACAGGCGTGTTTCAATTTTCTCTTTACTTATTATAACGTAGAGGTCGCAAAATTGAGCTGACCTTAGATCACATACATCAAATTTCCAAGATACACATTTTATGCATAGGGGAGAACCGGGAGGTATGGGCCGGTTTTGGGAAAAGGCAATTTTCTTCCAGTGGGCAGTGGCTAGACCCGGGTTTTTCACTCTGTGTACGTGAAATTGCCTTTCGCCTGCAAAGTGTGCCTGATATTAGGCATCTGGGACCAACTATTTTGTCTCGAGATAACTTTAAATAAATCATGCACTTTTTCGATCCACCAAAATACACGGGGAGGTATGGCCCATGGCACGGGAGGTATGGGCCGGTGCCATGTTTCATATTCTTTTCTCGACAATGAGAACAATACTCGTTGCTGGGTATCTACCTTGATCTCTCTTAGAGCCCAGGAACCGCATAAGCGGCCAACAGCTTACTTCTTGGAGGCAGGGGTGGACAAATGTGCTGAGTTGGGGTAGCACGGGCGCAGCAAATCCGCCGCCGCCCTAGCGGTGACCTTGACCTCCGTCGTCTGTTGCGGCTCTAAAGCCAAGCCGGCGTGGAATTGGGAGAGCTCGTGCTACCCCAACTCGGCACAATTATCCAACCCTGCATGGAGGTCACTACGGCACATATCAGGGGCGGATCCAGCATTTTGCCAAGGGAGGGGCTATTCCGAATCGGGGGCCCCCCATCGATGGGGGCCCTACCTACCCCCAAAAGTTTAAGCCTGGATTTCGTCCACTTTATTTTGGGGGGCCCCCTATCATGCTTTTTTTGCAAAAAAAAAAAAGAAAATGAGAAAGTCGCCCGGGGGGGGCGCTATAGTCCCTATCGCCCCCCTGGATCCGCCCCTGCTAGGAGGCCTTGTATGTGAACTAGGAAGCCCTCTGTGATAGCTAGGAGGCCCTCTGTGCAGATGCGAGCGCAGGCCCTCAGTACAGACTTGGAGACCCTTTGTGTGGATGCGAGTGGAGGCCCTCTGTGGAGCTTAAGAGGTCCTGTGTTGGCGAAGAGGATATCTGTGCAGGCTTGGAGTCCCTCTGTGCAGGATAGGAGACCTTCTGTGTGAGTTAGGAGGCCCTCTGTGTTGGCTAGGAGGCCCTTTGTTCGGATGCGAGTGGAGGCCTCTGTGTAGGCTAAGAGATTTTGTGTTTGTTAGGACATCTGTGCAGGCTTGGAGGCCCTCTGTGCAGGTTAGGAGGCCCTGTAAAAGTGGTCATCTCTGTGAGTATAAGAGACCTCCAAGTTATGAAAAGCTTTACCAATCTTCTAACAAAGAAGTCTTCTCAGCTAGTCTTCTAAGAAATAACTAAGTGGGTAGGTTAAAAAAAAAAACTCATCGGATTTCCGCCACTTTATTTTCAGGAGGCCCCCTTTTCAGCTTTTTAACTTTTTATTTTATTTTTGAAAAAAATCGGCCAAGGGGGGGGCCATGGCCCCCATGGCCCCCCCCTTGTATCCGCGCCTGGCACATATGTATTTTGGTTAATTCAATCATGCTCTACGAAAAAGATACATATTTTTCTGTTCGAATGAAATTTGTGGTTAAATTTTCGACCTTGCGCCACAAAAATGGAACTTATTGAAGAGGACAATTAATGAAAGCATCATTTCATTGATTTAGGATCAACGGGGGTCGGTGGCCCGAACCTCCCGGTTAGGACGCCAGAATGTGTGTATGTACTGTGTAGCATCTCAGCTCATAATCTTGCAAAAAAAGCAAATTGTCTACCCAGTCTTAAGTTGCATGCTTTAAACTTTATGTGAGCGATGGTCTGACATAATAAAACGAGCCTGGTTCAAATTTATCGCGAATTTTCTGTATGTACCGTAATTTACTCGAAGAGGGCAAAAACACTTCATTATCGCTCATTGCCAAAGAAGACCAAGGAAGATTTTGGAAATCACGTGGGTTGTATAACCCGCGACCTGGTGGGGGGGCTATTTTTTGCCCCCCCCTCCAGACTTTTCGATATATCTCCAGAACCGCTGCGCCGATCATCACCAAACTTTCAGTACCCTCCCGGACATCAATTTTACACATTGTGACCAAAAATTTTTCCAAAGGCTATGATAGGTTGGCCGGAAATGACGTCAGAGTGACGTCATGTTCTGCCGTTTTCGACCCAAAAAAGGGTTTCGCGGGAAGAGCTGTCAGGCCTATAGCTTTGCAAATACAGAAAAATGGTAAAGACATAAAAGCTGTAAAATCGACAGGGCTACAAAACTGCTATCTCGGATTTTTGAAATTTTTTGATTTTCACCCCCAAAAATCAAAAAATGATTTGGACAAAAAAAAATTTTTTGGATATAATAATCGAAAAATCCAAAAAGTTTTTTGAATTTCGCAAAAACCGGAATATATGTGATAGTCCTTACCGCCTCCCATCAACATACCAAATTTGAGATTGATACCTCTTTTTTGGCGAAGTTATAGCGAAAAAACTGTTCAAAATTGATGACGTCAAATTTTCAAACTCAATTTTTAGCAATTCTAGACCCCGTAGCGCAAAACAAAGACCACCATTAGACTCCCCGTGACGAGCTGCATCGAATCAATACCCATTTTATGCAAAACTATCAACTTTAAAATTTGACCTTTTTTGGCCTGACCTTGACCTGACCTTGACCTGAACTTCACCAGAAAGTGACCTAAGCCGTACCTGATAGTCTTATAACCAACAACATTGAGTTGGAAATGAAAAATTGGCCATAAAACATGCATCACACAACCTTAGTAAAGTTGGGCTCATGTGACCTGACCTGTGACCCTTGGTGACCTGACCTGTGACCTGACCTGGTATTGTCAGTGACCTTTAATAGCAACATATCTACTAGGCAACTGACGCCCTATCGCTGATTCTCGACAAAATGCGTTTTCCTCGGTGTTATAGCGCATTCCCTAGAAGACCCGTGAACGGTGAAACATTTCCTCTTTGACCTGACCTGTGACGTCATCGGTGACCCCGAGGTCAATGAAATTGAGTTTCCTTCGACAAATTTGACAGGCCTTTCGAGCGCCGTTTGAATTTTGCGGATCCGTCCAGTAGTTTCCGAGATACGAGGGGGGCAAAAAATAGCCCCCCCCCCCACCAGGTCGCGTTATAAACAGACAGCACCAGGGCGCGGGTTAACGGAATGGCTGCTGGGGCATTCCACGATAGATCGTACCAGGCCCGTCACCCTCATCTCTAAGATTTTAATGAAAATCGGTACTAGGGGTAATCATAGACCCCAAAGACGCCTGGCAAAATATCAGCCTTCTCAGATCAAAACTTTTTGAGTTATATTGCAATACATTTTTTTTAAACTTCGGTTTGTAACGGTGAGTTTGATGGCCTATAACTCAAGAACGGGTTAAGCAGCCAACAAACGGTAAACAG